ATTTACACAGTCAGAAAGATGAGGAACTCGTGAAAAGTATGAATATCAGTCAATCAACCTTTATTTATACAGGTAAATCCCATTGAGCCTCGAGGACTCATTTACAAGAGAGACCTGATTTCCTGATTCCTTTACCTGATATATAATGTGTAACTAGTTTTAGGAAAAGCCAAGTGAAGAACCGATAAACATAAATTGATGCCACATATCATGGAGTTTTATTTGTCCCAAACGCTGCATGTTTTATTTTATTTTGAGTCTCCATGTTTGCAGTTTGTGAAGGAGGAAGAGGAGGAGGATGAAGGGTCGGCGCTAGGACCGCAGCTCCATCAGTGCGTAAATCCGAGCAGAGAGTCAGGTCCCGGGCGGAGGGAAGACAGGCAGTGTGTCTGTCTGCTGTTCGGCCCATCAGCTGCTCTGGGCCGCAGACGGACCTGATCCAGCCGGGCCCGCCTCCGGTGCCTCCTTATGGGCTCACCACCATGCGCAGGATACGGGCCAACGCCATCGCCATTCTGACCGTCGCGTGGATCCTGGGCACGTTCTACTACCTGTGGCAGGACAGCAAGCCGCAGTCCACGCCGTCCTCAGACTCCCAGACCCGGGCCCGGGGCCAGAAGCAGAGAGGGGGCCCCGGTCGGCTGGAGGTCCACCGGGAGGACAGGACCATCCCTCTGATTGTGAGTTAGGAGTGCGCGTGTCGGTACTGATGTGTGCGTGAGAGCCGAGCTGGCCGAGGAGGGCGGGGGGACAAGGTTTCTGTACACTGGAGACAGCCTTTGTTTACCTGGCTTACCGAACCCAGTCGGAACCGCTCAGAGACCTAAGAGGCTTTCCGTTAAGTACCGAGGCTGTAAACAGAGTCCGAGACAGGGTTCTGATGGGCCTGCAGAACCGGATCAGGTCTCTGAGTGCCACCAGCCGAGTTTACTGTTGGCTCTGATGCGCTACAGACAGACAGACAAACAGACAGACAAACAGGTGAACAGACAGACAGGTGATCA